AAAAATCCATGGACGAAGATGTATTTCTCACTGGTGCATTTCATGTAAGGGACCTCACTACGTCAGTGTACATGCTGGCCCTGAGGGCCCCAAAGAACAGACAACCTTTATCAACTGTGGACTGGACAAGTAAGGCCAAGCACACCTTGAACATACCAGTACCAGCTGAACAAAAGCCAACAGACCCAGCTCTTCTGGCAGAAACATGTTTGCAATCAGCACAAAATCTGAGGACATCCCTGACACCTTCCTCAGCCCCTGAGAAGGAGGATATAAGGGATAAGGGTTAAGCAATGGTTAGAAAGGTCTTTATAGTGCCCATGACACCACTAGTAGGTTAGCTATGTGTAGCACCTAAGTAAGCAAGATTCCACTAGCCGGCCTGTCACTAACATTAGCAGCTAAAAAATTACGAGGTAACTAATTATTGCAAATCTTGTGAACAATCCTTGATGACACTAATATATCTTAAATCCACCAATTAGCATTAATATGTCTGAAATCTTCCAGTGGCCAGAATATTATCATCCATAAAATATAAAAATACTTTGCCAAATGATACTTTAGAAACTCATTGTCAGTTGATCAAACTGTAATTAAAATATAAAAAATGGAGCTTGGATAAAGCCATAGCAAACATTATCTTGTTATATTCATTGTCTAAAAGTGACAGACTAAGAAAAGTTTTTTTGATTTGAGGTTTTGTTAGAAAGATTTTGAAATATTTCCTTACAGTTTCATGAAGTCTTTTAGAGACACTGACCTCTACAAAAGTAAGCATCAAGTATTGCTGAATAGCTGGAGTTGAAAAGATCTTAACTGTGCAAAGTCAAAATAATGTTCTCAAGAATTTTAGAAAGACTATTTTAATATGTCCAAAGAACTTTGTTATCTAATATCATAAAATTGTCTAATATTAGATTATTGAACCTGCTGAGGCAGGAAAACCACAAAATGTTTTTTATTAATATTAATATAATGCCTGTATTGTTAAGATTTTAAAGATAAAATGATAAAAATCCTATAACCTGAGCACTTTCAAAAGGTGGACCTTTATTCTTCACATGTAAACTGGGAGTGGTGGTGTAACTGAATGAGTGATATATATAAAAGGAGCTGAGTGACATCAAGAATCTAACCTGGGCTACCAGAAAGTGTTTTTGTAAATTTTTCAATGTACTTTTGTTAAGTGTGTCTCATTTCCAGGGCAACATGGCTGGAAATGAACGTGTTATATAAAGAGGTGTTAGAGATTTTTTGCTTTACAAATGGTCAAAAAAACTGAACCTAAGTGTTTTTAAATTAAAATAAACGTGACACATGCAGACTGACTGAAAAAGAAATGTTAAGCAGATCAATTTCTGAAGACAGGCATGGAAAATTATCACAAATAAATAGTAGGTATTAGAAAGATTAAGGGTAAACATTGAGAGTACACACTACATGAAAAAAATAAATAAATAAAATTATTTTTCTAACAGAGAACAAACCAATGATCGGAGATCACTGATTTCAGGATCTGGATTTATTCCACTAGGTTGAACAGTATTTAGATTAGTAATACATTAAGCTTCTTTATCTCTTTATCAGCTTTAAAGTCAGTTTCAATGCCAGTTAGAGTAACATCATTAATAGAATGACCGAGTTGGTTGAAGAGTTGAGCAACAGGGAGATCTTTTTTTGGTGTTAAAAGATGAAATATTTTTCATTAGGACAGCCAGTTTTGAATCACTTAAAGAATTTTTTTTCTCATATGAACATACCTTTCACAAAGCAATCAAGTTTACCTTTAATTACTCTCCTACCTTAAGATCACTCTTTTTTCAAAGAGAGAAGTTTACACACCGACTTGTACAAAAAACTTACAGACAGACCACAGTATCTTCACTATAAAAGCTTTTAGAATAAAGAAAATCTTTTCAGATGAAACAGATTACAGAAAATACACCAAGGATCTAAAAGAAACCATGTTACAAAGGGGGATATTAAGTTATCAATATTGACAGACAGATCATAAACAGGTAACAACACTCAAGGGGAAAACATCCTAAAACACAGTAACACTAAAGTTTTAAATAGAATTCCTCTTGTCATTATCTATCACTTTAAACTCAGAAAAAGTTTCATCTCCTACAACTGAATAATTGTCTTAAACCAGGCCTCGACAAATCTGGGTCGCCAGGTAACCAAGGCAACTAAAACTTTCATCGTGGCACCTAGTATTTTCTCCCATTTTATTTGTGCATAGAATAGTTCTGGATGCTTTGAAGTCCGGAACTATTTTTGCAGTTAGTTCAGGCAATACTATCAAGTGGTTGTTGATATCGTGTGATTGTTAACATGCACTCGTTGCAGTGAGAGTGAATAAATATAGCCCCCATTTCTCAGGATAAACAGTAGTGAAGTTATGTTCAGCACACCAAAAGATCTTTGCTTACTGTTGTATAGTTTTATAGTGCTGAGTAGATTAGACCTATTCTGAAACAACCTGCTTAGCCTATCCATATTGCAGTGATTATTTTTACCTTCATTTATTGCAAGAATCCATCAAGTTATAGCTACCTAGTCTACTATTTTAATAATTGCACATATTGAAGTTTAACTTTAACATATGTTATATAATAAAGTTTGATAATAAGCCCTTTGTATTTTAGTGTAAAACTGTATGTCTCATACCATAACCACAGAACTGGCTCAAAATATATTCCACAACTTTATATCGGACCTGGCTCCTAGATCTGAAAATATATGTTGAGGCCTGCTTTAAATAGATATTTCCTGAAGCTCCTGTTGTCTCCTTCTGAAAAAGCAGAAGTCTAAAAGATACCCTTGTTCGTGCAAAAGTGAATCACACCCCATCAAAAAATGATTGTCATCCATGTAATATATTTCATTGTCAAACCTGCAAATTCATAAAGCTATTGACTCTTTTTGCAGACATGCCAACCAGAGAAACTTCAAAATTTCTAAAAAAAATTAATTGTAGAACACAAAATACCATTTATCTTATACAGTGTAAAAAAATGCAATTATCAGTATTTAGAATGTACCTAAACAACTCTTAGAGAACATTTCAACAACCATAAGTCTTCTATTAACACCAAAAAAAGATCTCCCTGTTGTTCAACACTTCAACTGACCTGATCATTCTATTAATGATATTACTCTAATCGGCATTGAAACTGACTTTAAAACTAAACCTGACAAAAAGATAAAAAAACTTAATGGATTACTAATCTAAATATTGTTAAACCTATTTAAAATTCAAAAACAGCTCAAATGGGATAGAAAAAAATGCATCATTAAAAAAAAATGTTTGCCACTACTCAGCACAATTGTACGTGACACTTAAGTACACCCAACTGTTGACGTCAACCATATAACTTTGAGCTAGCATAAGTATAAGCCTACTCCTTGTGTTTCATTTATTAAAGGTTTGTATTCCTTTGTTAAAATGGTTTTGTTTATTTTATGTTTATTAATATTAGGTTCTCGACAAATAATTCTAACATTTTTATTTTCATTACAGCGTTCTGTGTATTCAAAATGTTAGTAAACATGTGACAGAGCATTTCTATGTTTTGCTATTCTAGTACTTAAATTTCTACCAGTCTCCCCTATATAGAGATTATTACAGTCTGTACATTCTACACAATAAACTACTACTTTCTCAATAGTAGTTGGTTTAATTCTATTTTTGAAGATTATATTAATCTTTTTTCCTGGTAAAAATCAAATTTTACTTCAACTAGAAGTTTATACATCCTTTCTATTTCTTTCAACCTAGTGTAATAAATCTAGATCTTAGAATCAGTAATCTCCATTCCAAGTTTACCCCTGAAGAAGGAAGGAAGGTCCACCTTTTGAAAGTGCTTGGGTTTTTATCATTTTATGTTGAGACATATTGAACATACGTGTTTTTCTGCCATCATGAATATATCAATTCATATTATTTTATTGAGCGATGCCTCGACCTTAACTTTTGGATAGTTAATTATTTTTTCGCCACTAACAAATTTGGGTTGCTGCTAGCAACAACAATATTTTCCTCAAAAAGTAACTATTTTATAATCAATTATTTTATGTATTAAATGTTAATAAATATGCATATTTTCTATTTAATACCTATAAATATTGTGTCATGTTTTCCATTCAAATATTTTGAAAAATCTAAACTCAATGGTCTTCATTTTAACTATCAATAGATATTTGATTATTAAAAGTTATGTTTAATTGGCAAAAGCTGGCAAGACATTAAAAGCCACTAGGCCTAACGTTTGTATTAGTCATAGACAAATTAAAAGGAATGTGGATAAAACAATTGCAGTTTATGTGATTTCTGTTTTATAGTATTATTAACTACAATAAGGAACCACTTGAGCACAGTATTTCTAACCATGTTGACACATGGTAGCAGAGGCTAGAAGGTGCAAGTCTAGCCTGTAAGTATACATGTTAATTGCCTTGGCAACCAATCAAATGACTTGAAGCTGCAATCTCACTATTGCCATTTCCTGATACTTTGGTTCACATATGGCTCAAATTGGGATTGAAAACTCAGCATGGCATCAGTAAGTCAAACAATACTGTTACTCACAATTAAATTAACCTTACGTACTCACAATATTGCAATGAAAATGACTGAAATACAGATGTTAGAAAAATACATAGGTTCAAGAAGTCTTGATAGAAATGAATATAAACCCTATAACCCAAGCGCTTTCAAAAGGTGTAAAACAAATTTTTTTCTAGTATCTTGTAAGTTTTACTAGCAAAACTGCAATACTAACTAGCAATTTGCTAACATTAATTTGAGCCCCATTTGTGTAATTACACGAAAATGACAACACTCAAACTTAGCAATAGTTATTGAACTGGCACTAGTGAGATGCAATGGTAACATTCAAGTAATGTTGGTAACCTCATATAATTGAAATGAACTACTTGAGAGATCTGGAAGTCAAGTAGCTAAAGAATAAAGCAAATGTACCGAAGCTTACCTATTGACTTTGCGTGGACACTTGTCAGGTGTAATGGTAACATCATAGTGATGTAAGTAACCTCGAGGCATTTGTATTTCAAAGTGGTTTGCTCGGAGCATGATTGGTCTTCCATCAGTTCCAACATTGGGACGACGAGGGCAGGTAAATGAAGGCAGCTCCAGTGACTGTCCTGGTGATGTTTGAGAGACAACAGCCATGGACGGAAGAGGAGACACACTTGAAGGACCACCTGAGGGCCCAGGAGGAGGACCATGAGAAGGAAGTGTGCCCCCTGGTGGTCCTGGGGGACCAGGAGCTAGAAAATAAAGATCTGAATTATGTGTAAGCACTCAAGGAAAAAAATTACATTTTTCTGACCATTATGCAAAAACAATATTAATTCACCTAAACAATACAGTAACTGGATGTAAAAAGGAAACTAAAATATGGGGAAAATTATTTTACATTTATTGTTGACTACTAATGAGAATATGGTTGCAGGATCTGTAGTTGAAAAAAAATCTGGGGAAGAATGATCATTGTATAATTAGGTTTGATATTTTGTCACATATCGAGCTAAAGAAAAACTGAAATTTTAGTTACTAATTTTCTGATACCAATTTCCAGATCATGAAATAAGATATATCACTAGTAAGTACAGGTAATGGCTTAAAAGGTAATATGAGATAAATCTGGTAATATTATATAATAATAATTACTTTTAATTAAAGATACTATAGGCACATTCTTAAAAACAATAACAGCAAATATCAAACTTAACTGACTTACTAAAGACAAACAAGAAGAAAATCAAGAAAAACTGCTGTAAGTCTTTTAAAAGCTTACATTAACAAACAGAACAGATGATTTACAGAACTAAAGTACATGCAAAAAGCACTGCCTCATTGAACATGATCAAATGCATGATTCTGGTCACACCCATAAGTCCCAACTACAGGAACTTTCAACCAATTTTGGAACACTTTACAGTTGCATCAGTTTTACTAGTTGCAGATACAAGTTGTAAATTTTGCATCCTAGGTTGCAGGCTACTTGATCAGATGCATTTCAAAGCAATAGCTGTCAATGTGGACCTCAATCAGTACCCCTTTGAACACTCAGAGCATGCAAGCTTAAGAGATTAACAAAACAATTATTAGCATCGTACATGACCTCCAATGAGGTTAGGGCATGTTACGAGCATGAATTGTTAATGTAGCTACATCTTGAGGGAGAAATGTTTAACTAATAATCAAAATTTATTAGAATCTTCAAAAGCTACAGTAATCTTTTGTCATAAACTATAAGTTTATTATTTTTAAGCAACTATTAAGTTCATTACACGACTGATAAAATTTTAATAACTCTACTTGTCCTGGGGCAGGCCCTTGTAGACAATTGGTTATCCAAATAATATAATCTATAATCTATACAATGTGAAACTGACTTAAACCATTTGCTTTCTGTTTTTTTTTTTTCTAAACTTAAAAACTTCTTAAAAACAAAATTTGTCTATAAAAGGTTCCTTACTGTCATCAACACAATGAACAAGACAGTGATCATAGCTTTGTACTGAAACTTATAATAAAGCCTCACTGTGAATACTGTCATTCTATGATATATTTTCATCAACTACATGATGAGTTGAGACATTTCCTCTATCATATCCTGTTATGATGTTGATGGTTGAGCCTTATCCTCAGATTTAAAGTGATACTGGCTGTAGCCTCTGATTTTGTAATGCTGAACTGGATTCACATGGGTCAGATGGCTGCTCTCTTTGCACAAGAAGAACTAATATTTCACAGCTTTGTCTGGACAGAAATTTTTAACATCACTACCATTTGTGGACAGCAAATGGAAAATGAAATTGAAGGAAAGGAAAAAGAGCACCACGTGTTGCAGGGATGAGCAGAATTTTAGCATAACTAGCTGAGCACTAGCACACAAAAGATCCATGTCCGACTAAGCATAGAGGTGAGAAATCAAATATAGGGAGATAGGAGGGAAAGAGCAGCCAGTCTTAGGAAGAAATTCTCAGTTAAGGTAGAGAAGTACATTAAAACAATGAAGACCACAGGCAAGAAGGAGAAGGAAATATGTCTTCAGAGAATGATGGTATAAAGAACATGAAGCCAACAACTCACACAAAACCTGTGTAAAATTACATTAAGGTCCTAGTCAGGTATGGGAGGAGAATGAGAGGTTCAGCAAAGAAGAAATAATCTGAAAAATGTGGAGAGGACAGAGGAAGAAAAAAACCTTGTGGTAACAAGAAAAGCAAAATGTAGTTGATAAAACTGCCTGAAAACCAGCAATGGTGGAAACCTATAATCCATGGTGAAACAACCAAGTGAAAAAACCCTGAAAGTGAGGCACAGTAGGACAGCTCAGAAGAAGGGAGTGGTGGATGGACCAACATAAAAAAACCCACCATAGTCATTGACAAATGGACAGAGTTGAAGGACAATAGGAATTGGATGAGAAAAAGGTTATAAGGCCAGCCCTGCAACCAATGGACCAGACAAACCCCACATGTGAAGATGAAGGGACAACACTCCTAGGTGAAAAAAAAAGAGATGTGTGGGAATGGGGCAGAAAAGGGGGTCTGGACACCAACTGATGAAGCAGAAGAAATTATGGTTCTGCCAACCAGAGAGGCATCACCAATAGAATCTGATAATGAGAGTCACGTACCAAAGCAAAACATAAGGGATAAGAGAAGGGGGGGGGAGGCATACAGAAGCTGAGACCAGTCCTGGCTAGAAGCATCAACCACCAAGGCTGAAAGATGATGAAATAGGGACTACAAGATGAGAATTCTATTGTTGAGAGGAGGGGCAAAGGCATTGATGAGTGGTATGCAAAACTGAGAGCAAATCCATCAAAAATCCTAAGAGTGAAAAGACCACTACGAAGGTTGAATCTTTATAAACTAGAGAGGCATTCAGCTACTAAGTTCTGAGCCCCCAGCACATGACAAGCCATGAAACAAAAGGGATAGAAATGAGCAGATACAATGCACAGAAGCAGAGTCATGGAACAGATAACCCTTGAAGTTGATATAAGAATGAACCATGGAGTTTTCAAAGTGGATCATGACTAACCAACCGATCCCTAAAGAGGAGGAGGAAATTGTAACATGCTTAAATTTCAATGAAAAGATTGAGTACAATGATGTAGAATGAATGCTCCTTCAGAGACCACACCTACAAGTCTTTCTGAGATGCACCCCAGCCTGAGAGAGTAGCATCTGTGAAAAGATGGAGATCTGACTGGAAGGTGACAAAGAATTGCTTACTGTGGTATTGGAATGGTTAATCCACCAAAACAAGACCTCAAGAAGAGGAGGTACACAACTGATGACAATGGAGCGATGACCCTACTGCCAGGAAGTTTGAGGAGAAGAATGGGAAAGGATATGTGGATTCAGCAGGCCTAGAAGAGGAACACAATAGCAAGGTTGAGAAAGATGAGTAATAAAGTATACAATGATGCCTGGCCAACTTTGCCTGGGTCTCCAGTGAGTCAGAAACACCTTCAAAAGTCTCTCGGGAAAGAAATGGAGCCTGTAAAAGAACACAAAAATAAGCTTAAGGGAAGCATACATTAACCAGGATATTATATCATCCCAACAGCAGAGGAACCAAGTAAGTATGGATAGAGCAGAAGATAAAATAATGGCCAACGTGGTGAAACGAAGAAAATTAACTTCTTCAGAAAACCCTCTGGAATGCAATAAAGTATCTCATACATAAAGTGAAGTGATAATGGGGAACATAGGTGTGTGGTAAGAAAAAGACAAAGACACAAAAATTGGACTCTAGAAAGGGAAATAAAAGTTAAGGGATCTGCCCTCCAAGCAGGTAAAAAGAGGTTTTAAAGCCTGAGAATCAAGGAACAGAAATGAAGAATGGTTATAATCCAGGACATATCATGTAGACAAGGAGGACAAGACATATGAGTATTGGTGCACAGTTGTTTGAGAAATGAGACTGCATGAACCTTAATGTCAAGTAAATGAGGGAAGGCAAAGTAATCTCGAGTAGGGGTTTCATGTAATAAAAAGCACGAGAGGAATTGAAAAACACAATGGAAAAGAGAAAGAAAGAAACATACCTGTGAGACCACATATTGGCTCACAGAAAAGTCAATATTTTAATTTTACCTGGTCTAGTAATGTTACATGTGTAGTAATACACCATTTGCAAATTATATTGTTTTATATATAGATAAAAATACTTGTAACTAGGGATGTCATGATGCAGTCATACAATACTAGTATCATGAAGCCGTGATACAATTGTATCAATACATCATCCCATATGATATAAATTCAGAAATAATCTACGAAGTACAAATTATTCAATAAAGGAAGATGAGTGTTGAGTATTACATGTTGTCTTAATTTCTTTTATCAAAAACATTACATGCAAAGTAACATAACAAATTAACAATAGCAAAATAGATAGATATTAACTTTTTTTTATTTTCCTTCTCTTGCCAGCTGCCATTTAGTTGATCAAACCTGAGAATTTGAAAAAGCACTGTAAAGTGTGAAGTGCTTAAATAAGACTATGTTAGTAATATAGATAATAAATTATAGACAAGACTTTCAAACTTTGTAAAAAAACCATTGGTAAAACTTCTGTATCTAGATACATGTCCTATTGACTACTATGAGATACACACCCCTACTTGTAACCATAGGTGGTGAGTTATATGGGCCTGCGGTGCCTATGCTCCACCATATTTAGGAATGTGGGCTCAGCTCCACTAATGTTTGAGCTTATACTTTGCATATCTTATCAAAGCTGCAATGGTAAAATGCCCACATGTGGGAAGATCATAACAATTTAATATTTTTCCATCAATTTAATTCAAAAATGAAAACCACATTATTCATTCTTATCAAATGTGAGAGCCCTGTATACAATCTGTACATCTCACGAATGCCTGCCATAGACAGAATCAGTGTGTGTAGAGCATCCTTGTGCTGTTGCTTAGGTGATAATTTGAAAGGCCTTCTGTGCAGTCTGAAGGGAAAAAAAAGCACACAAACAACAATTTGAAGTGCAGTATCAATGTAGCTGTCTTGATGTACAATTGTTTAACACTTTAGACAACACTGAATTAAAGATTCTAATCTTTAGATATATTATTGCAAATAAGATGTGCACAAAAGTCACAAATAAATATCACATTAAAACAGACAGACTGCTTTCACTTCCTTTATAAAAAAAGTTCTTTTGCTGATCAATGTATTCTTATGAACAGTCTGAAGGAATTTGTGCACACAAAGCACATATAATGCTAACTTATCCTTATAAG